AAAACTTTTCACAATAGAGGTCCCAAAAACAAATTTATTATTGAGGATCAGGTGCCTTCCTGGCCTACTACCTTGAAAATTTGTTTAGGAGCAATGTTTTATAAAGGGTTTAATTGGGGAATTGGTGGTTTTGGTCAGCTGTCAGTGTTGAAGAAACCTAGAGAAAGCTATATCAGCTAATTTAATGAATCATAATCATTGGCCTCAGAAGGATTTCAAACCCGTATTAATTTGTTTTCCAATTTAAAAATTTAGGGCCCAAAAAAAATTAGCATTATATAGAGGTACCATTTTTCAAACAGGGGGGTCTGAATTCAATTTGGAAAAATTTAGCATTATAGAGGTACCATTTACTAATCAGGATCCAACATGATATAGCTTCGTGAGTGACGTGGTGCTAATTCAGAAAGAAGGTGCAAACTGAAAGAATCAACAGAATGGATCTATACCATCAAGCATCACAAACCTTCCAAAGCACAGAATTCGGCATGGTTTGACGATTGTGTTGGTCGGTCTGGCCTCCACTCGCTGAGATCAGTAGGGGAAGAGATCTTCAAAACGTGCACAACAATAGCTCTATTATGCATTGTACAAATGTTTGAATATATACTGTAATTGTATATATAGTTATGTATATAACTTAATCACCAGTAAGTCAACTTGTCGCATCACAAGAACATGAACAGCTCAAGTATTATTGGTAACAATGAAGTGTATTTGAGTCAGAGTCTTGCACGGTCCTGCGGCTGCCGGAGCAGTATCAATCAAAGGCTACTTCCAGTACAATCCGGACCTACCAAGCCAGAATCAAGAAGTCCAGTGGATCATCAGAGGATCGATTTCGATCCTACCAGGCTTAGCAGGTTTGCTTGGAACCGTGGCATTGATTTTCTTCAACCTCCGAACCAAGGACCGCCCAATAGTTTGGTGTGTCACTGTAGCGTCGAATTAGCTTGCTTTGTACCCTGTCAAGTCGATATCAGAGCGGCGAGACATGACGAGCGCGCGCTGTGCTAGCCGGAGCGTGGTGCCAGGAGCAGCATGAAGAGATAACAAGGGGCATCCAGCTGCACCAGGACGGCTACTCAGCGAAGGACCCTTTGACTGGACTACTCATGCCTCCGATCAAAGTCTTGGCCGACAACTCAGTGGTTTGGCAGCAATATCATGGGTAATGGCCAGAGAGCTTCCTAGCAGGGTTGGGCCTTCCTGCACGCAAAGCAACAGATCAATGGAGATGTTAAGGCTTGTAGAAAGTAGCTTTTTTGATGGAAGATCCGGCGGGGCCATTGATGTACGATCCCATGCCTGGCCTGTGGTTGCTCACTTGGATGCATGCACACTTTAGGTGGAGTATGATGGTTCAACTATTGGCAAGGATGAAATCTACATATTGAACCACTTTTTCGCATCCGAAATCCGCTGGGCTTCTGACTCGCAGAGTGCAACTTGGGATGAAGGGAGGGGTTTGGGACTAGATGCTGGCTTTGTGGAGGAAACGATCCATTTTCAGATTTGAAACAGTGCCCGCATGTTTGGATTGCTTCTAGCGGCCGATGACCTGTGCAGTTGGAATATGTTGGAATCAGAATGCCCAAAGTGATCCCAATACCTAGATAGGTTCACCAACACGTGTGATATCGTGCGATGATTGCGAATCGCGCATGTTTGTTCTTTGTCAACGGAAGCGAGGTTGGCAAGCTGAAGATGAAGCCCTTGATACACTTGCTTCTCTCTCTGATTCTGGCTGTGCCGGGGGTTCTCCTCACGATAGAAGGCCACCTTGACCCGCACGTGGCGTATCGTTTTTTCTTTTTTTGGGGGGCATGGGTGCACGTACTGTTGGTTGAATTTTGCCATGGATACCGAAAGTAGTGTAAAACCAGAATTGAGTGTGATTGTGGCTTTCCTTCCATGATCTTCCATGGGTAGACCGTCAGGCCCAGGCGACACGTGTAGAATAGATGAATATATAGATGAAGAGACCACCCGTCTAAAAATGCCCATGTAGGCTTTGCGGACATTTGACGACTAAGTCCTGAATAAAAAACTCTTCTTTGGAGTCAACACATGCAGGCTGGCCGGCACTCTCGGCGGGTGACAGCTCCTGGGCGCCAGTGCCTCGCTCAATTATATAGAGCAACTGGGTGGGGTCTTAGTCTTTGGAGCAGTGGAGTTTGTACCGTGCACTTGTGGCACTGTTGGAAGGAGCAAGCTGGGATAGTGGAGCGGCCTTCACTGATGTACTGTATGTTTATGTTGTGATGACTTTGAGGTTGGCATCATTTTCCTTGGCTTCGCCTTCATTGGCTCGATTTTTAGCGGGGAAAGGGTCAGGCAAGGATTTCGAGCCGTTGGTTTGGTGCAGGTCAAGGACCTGGAGGTGATGATTCTTGGCCAACAATTCATCTATACTTATGGTTTTGAAGGGTGCCGTAAACAGATTCTCTCTCTCTCTCTCTTTTTGCCAAGATGCCACGGGTGAAGATCGTGAAAGGTTCAACGGGTGGACGGTTGGTCAAGTTCTCCCAGATTAGACTTTTTTGACTCAGCTTGCGGGAAAGAAGGTCCCTAGTGTTTTGGGACCTGTGCCGACAACTTGCTGGAGTGCATCACATCTTGTAAATGTGAGCAGTCACTGCGTCTTCAGCATAGATGGAGCACTTGCTCAGGAAAGCCATTCACAAATCGAGAGGGCGTCTTCCAGGTGGCACAAAAGTGGCGCCTTTGCGGCAAGGACCTGCCTTGCAAAGTTGGAGAAACATCTGTGTTTTCATGCGTCTAGCGCTGCGACACGGGGATTTCGGATTATTAACGCCAGCAAAATCCTAAACAAAGACCATCGAAAATCAGACCGACATCGGACGGACCACCCCTAATGACCGCCCCTAATTCTTAGCCTAGCCTCCATCAAATCATCCAAACGAGAGAGGAGAGGGACAAATTTCATGAAATGGTCATATATTGCCCCTGATAAGCTTGTAGGACCAGAGATCGGTAGGGACCCTAATCGCTGCGTTTGACTTGCTCCATTCCAGGCTGCTGAGAAAGAGTAGGAATAATTTGGATCCTGTTTGTCCTGGGTCCTGGGTAGTTGCAAAGCACGGCCCAGCAGGACAAAGGAACAGCTTCGGCAAAAGCCGGCTGTGCTTCGTTTTGGATTTGACTGCTTGGTCTCGGCGTCCCATTTGTTGAAATGTCCTGCTGCCGCAATAGAGTGTTTGTACCTGTTGCAACCACTTATTTTACAAACTTGCAAACCAATCAGAGCTATTCCCATACACCCTTCCTTTGCTTATATGCACAATCCTCAGCGCGACAGCACAATTTGCATGCGTCGACACTTTAGCAGCGAGACGGTTGGAAGATTGTCATGTTTTGCATTCTTTTGCAATAATGCGACCCATAAACATTTGGCTGCATTTCCTTGTAAAGTTCTGTATTCGAAAGCAAGCATGTGTGGACTATGTGACTGGTGTGAGCAGGTAGTTCTTTCTACGTTCTTGTCCTCAGCTGTTGAACACTGCCATCAGATCGCTTGCTGGCTTGCTTTGTCACCCCTCACAAGGCAATGCGAGGTCACAGCCAGCATGACAATGGCTCGAAAATATGGCCGCTGCATTCTTTGTACTTGAATGACACACACACACACACCAATGACGCCACAAACGCCAGTCCATGGTTTTAAAGTTTCGCATTCTTGTCATGCCTTAGTCACTGGATCTGTCGCAAAGATGGAAGTAAAAGCACCGAACTAGAGCGATGTTTGTTGCCTCCAGTCCGTGGAAGCATAGAGTGTGACCATCTTGTTGTCATTCTACGATATGCAACATATCACCGCCTCTGCTGCCAAGGAAGCGAAACTGGCTTCCGGCGCCTACTGTGGTGTGCTCAGCTTTGGCAGGTCCGGTCCAATTGATTGGTGAGACAGAATCCATTCTTCGATCCTTTTCGCCTTTTTGTCATTGTTGCACCGTGTTGTCATTGTTCACCGTTTTGATCCGTCTTGACTGTTTTGAGAATACTTTTTGTGAAGCTGCTCGAGTCCGAGTGACACAGCATCTGTAAGGTGACTGCTGCTGTCCAACGGACTTGTCAGAAGAGACGTGGGTGGTCGCTGATGCCATCCGTGCAGACCACGGCTACGAGGTGGACGAATCGCAGGCAAGGTGGACGAATACCTAGAGAATCCTAGAGTCCAAGCGCTAGAGATGCCATGTATTTTCGGTGATTGTCAAAGCGAACCCTGTTTGCGCAGTCAGTTGAAGCATGAACGCCGTTGAAGCCTGTCAAAATATGTTGAGTGAACATTTTGGACAAGGTCAATGCCTCACATGGGTCTATATAGAGTGTTTGCAGCACGTGGATCTTTGCTTCTACTTTATTTTCATTTCATTTCAGCTGCGCAGGTGCGAACAAAAACTGGTCACAGGCCAGCGCACTTTCCAGCGCACCTTCAGACAATGCAACAGTGGTTGAGAAACATGTCAAAGACACTGGAGGCACTTTGCTCCTAGTAGCGTCCTTGCTCCTAGTAGTAAGGCCAGGAGCCCCGTTGGTAGCGTTCTTGTTCCGTTCGTAGCGATGCCCTTTGCTCCGTTCGTAGCGTCCGCCTGACCCACCCGAACAGTGGGCCGCCGCAGTCCCAGTGGGCCTTGCTAGGAGTATCGCCTGGATAGAAGGTGTGGAGGTTTTTGTGGAGAAGAGGACTTCATTTCTGAATCACTGAACCGACATCGAGAAATGGACCAGCGGCAGAGCTTCACTAAACAGTCAATTTGAATGGTTCATGACAGCGGCTGAGTTCGACTAGTGACTAGAGGACCTGCAGACACTAGTCACTAGATGTCACTAGAGAATCAACAAATCCAAGAATGCTTGATGCATCCTGACGCCATTTGCCTGAGAAGCTTTGTCCTTTTTTCCAGGAAGCTGAACCTGGAAACCACGACGATGAATTTGAGCGCATGGACACAGCTTTTGGCACACTTGCTGCTTGGTAGCAGCTTAGTGGTGCTGCATCATTTTCTGCAGCTCCATTTCGCGAGATTGACAATGATCTCAAAGAGTATCTGACAGTAATTGTTTATCAAACTGTAATCATGCAGCGCGACTGCTAAGAGGCCACACGACTTGCCTAAACGCAAGTCACGGAAGAGCGTGAGAGTCCCGGTGAGAGCACACGAGATGCAGAGGGAACAAACTTATTGTTTGCTTTGACTGAATGCATCTTAGTTGTGGCTTCGCAGCAATTGAAGCTGGTGGTGCCTTGCAACATATGGATTGGTTTGTGGAGGGGCCGACCCTTGGCTGCACAAGCTGGCCGACCCGACGCTCGAGCGCCGTTGCGAGATCTGGACTACTAGAGGCAGCTCATGACCAAGGGTCCTTCCGTACCCCAGCATTTGAGTTCTTCACGAAACAGGAGTGGCCTTCATGCTTACAGCATGTTGGACAATCCCAGCATATCCAGACAAGACTGGCATGCGGTCATGTAGTCGGTGATGGTTTGCACGCCCTTCACATTGCATATGCAAGCCTTCAGGACCACAGCCTTCATTGCAGTAATCATCAACCAGGCGCATGTTTAGTAGCAGATGATTCAAGAATCTGGTGAACCAGGAATAAGCGAACTCTTTTTGCATTGTTGTGGTGGATGACTATGTAGGAGCAAATACTGTTCCGTTTCTGCTTTAGACATGACAGCTAGCCAAATCGCATATAATTGCTGATTGATGCCACAACGCTTCCAGGTCAGTGTGGGCATCCTCTTCCGGCTGATGGATCTATTTCGGCCAGATCTATAGAGCAAGACGTGAGTCGTTTTTTTTTGGGGGAAGACTGGCAAAGGTAGCAGCAACCTTGCACAGAACATGCATAAGAGAAAAGGATGACTAACTGCAATGTGACTCAGGCTGTACACCATCACCGACGAGACTGATGAGCGTGTTGCCATGACCTCAGCTTTCGCGTGGGCAACATGTTTTGTTGGCACTTTTCCCAGCTGGAGACTCTGGAGACCACAAAATGGTTGTCAATGATCAACCCCTGGTTGTAAAATGGTGAGTTTTTGCTGCGTGCGCTATACTGTTATATACAATTGCTATCAGCTGTTAACATGGACCAATCAGCACGCTCACGAGCACCACAAAGCGAGCATAGATGCAGTAGCCGCCAGATCACCATATTATCTACTTGTTGCAGTGGCCAAAGCAGCACAGTGAGAAATGGTCTGGGAAAGACCTAAATAGTAAAGGCTGGGAAAGACCTAGTGACAATCTTATTCATTCAAGTGCAAACTACTGTGGGGCTCGCAGAGAAAACGTGTGTTTGTAACGAGAACCTATTGTGCGAAAGAACCTTGTGGGATTCCCCCACGTGCCAGGTGTGTGCAAACGTTCGTTTGTTGACAGCAGTGCTGGTTCAGGTCCTGCTCAACGAGGAAATCAAAGAGGCAGCATGTCTCACACGTTGGACACGGACAAATTTTGTGAGGTTTAGCCAGGTTAGCACAGCGATACGCGATAGCATCGTGCCTTTGTGTCTCCTCTAGATTAGCTCATGAGAGGTTACTGTGAGGATCATAGCTGGAGGACGTGTTGAGGAACACCTCCTTTGCGCATAAATATGCATAAATGCTTTCCCACATGCCGCGCAGGCTGAGAATGACATCGTCAGTTTGGCAAGCTCCTTCCTCATGGTGCAGGTCTTCCGCTACGGCTTTACAGGCGTCCTTCTGCCTCCTTGGTTGTTTGTGTGTTCCTTTTGCTCTTAAGGGCTTAACAAGTTCTTGAGCAAACCGCTTGTTGGTGATGAGCGAGTCTGCAAGCATTTTCTAGCCACACTTCGATGGGCGCCCACAACTCCGGAGTAGCTAATAATGAACTCTGCCTGTAGGGAAGAAGCGTTCAGGTGTGGGAGAAATGTGAGTGAATGGGTTGGGAGGGTGCTCTCAGGCCACATGCCAAATTCAGTGGCTTGGTGGAGTTTGTGGCTTGCATTGCAAACTGTTCGTATCAACTATTGTACTGTATATCCATATATTATTCTTTAATCTATAATGCATCCAAAAAAAAACATAGTTATAAATAACTAAAACATCTATACAATTACTGTAATCACCTTCCAAAATGGGGGAGCGAGTTTGTACAGTATAGAGATGTTCACACAGCTGCCGTGAAGCCCGTCGCTGGGGCATGTCGCCCTGAGCCCCATCGTTCCCCCGGTTTTTCCCTGTGCATTGCTAGGTGGCGTTCTCCGGTGCGGCGAAAGTACTCACATGATAGAATGGCAATGAATGGCATAAGAAGGGGCCAGTACTTCGTTTCCTTCGTTCTATCAGTAATATGCCGGTTGAAGATCTTCCATCGAACCTATCCGCGCCGTTCCCCCCATTTCAGGAAGGCCACCAGGAGCCCTACATTCCTGTTGGTTCGACTGCCCTTTTCTTGCCGCTGGGTAGAGAGAGGCGAAGAATGACTTTAGCCTGTATCCGCAACGGTGGACGGGAACTACAGCTAAGTCTTAGAGCTCACTCAAATTCTTACCTTAACTTGGAGGGCTTCTTGAGAAGGGGTACTTTTCAGCAGATTGGTGCTCAATATGCACACTAAGTTATCCTAAAGTTTTCCATCTACCTCAAACAAAGGCAACAAGACCTTATGTTGGTGGTTTGTGAATGCTTTGTTGCCTCCTGAGCCCCACGGATGTTCAGGCTCAGTGCCCCTGAGTGGCCATGCTACAGGAAGTCGTGTTCAGGAGTTGAAGGATCTTTTTGGGAGAAAAGGACAACACATTGCAGGTAACTATATTATTGAAGCTGAAGTCGCCGCCATGATCTCAACATGATTTGGTGCGTGCGGTATACACCAGATCCGGAGAACCTGACACTAAGTGTCGAGTAGACGTGGAGCGCTTGCGGAACCTGAGCTCTGGACCTCAAGTTATCCTGGGGCTGAGTTGAGAGATGTTTGCCGAGGCTCTTCATTGTTGGATGCATTTCCTTGGTGGTTTCAGTGCTGTGCCTGGTCCAATTAAGTGGAGAGTCGTAGGCATTTGTAGATCTTTGTAAAGATGTTGACTTTTCATTTTCACTGGCTTGAAGGCCTGTAGTGAGTCATGAGTCATGAGGGTTTTCGTGTTATTTTGTCATTGGGTCAAGTCCTATCACGTCTACCTCACGCATTCCACCAAGCAAGCAGAAGATAGCAGAAGCTCCTTTCCTGACGTTGAGGATG